ATTGCTATTATTTTAAATGAATTAGAAAATATTTAATTTTTGTTTTAATGTCTAATATGTTAAGCATTGTGGATATATTCTAGATAAGTAAAAAACTCAGATTCTCAACAATTTTTTTAAGAGTGTAAAGGGATTCTGAGACCAAATGTTTGAGAACTGCTCATCAAGAATATTACTATTATTTATGCATCTGAGATGATGATTTTTTGCCCCAAAAGTTTCTTTCTAGAAGGCAGTGATCATGGCTACATTTGATCCCAGGCAAAACTAAAATCACTTTATGAATAGATGAGGTATCATTTTTTACACATACATTCATTTCTCATTTTATCTGTTCAAAAAATATTTACTGAGCTCCTGGCATACATGCTTCAGGTATAGCACCTTCTTCTGGGAAGATAGTAAGACAAACATGGATCCCTGTCCTCATGGAGATCTGGGATCTAGTTTGCGAAGGAGAAACAATGATGACTCGAAAATTCAGGATCAATGTAAAACCAGATGGAAACTGCTTTTGTTAATATTCACATAAACTACCAATTTAAAAAAAAATACTATTTATTTTCCGGAGTCTGAAGACTTGAGGTTGAAGAGTTTCCTGGCAGGAGGACGTCATTTGACAGGTATTAGATTTACTGGTGATTCAAGTTACAGCGGCCCTAGTCTGTTATTATGGTGTTTAAAAGTATGATATGTTTTGAGAAAATTCAGTGTAGGTAAACAGAAATCTACATTAGAAAGCATCATACTTGCATTACAGAAAGGTTTTTCATTTTGGAAATACTATACTGGACTTACAGAGGGAGTGATCAATAACCTTATTGATTGAATGAACAGTTCATTGTATACTTAAAATTTGATTCACATTATCACAATTGATTCACAACTTTTCAGTTACATGTATAATACATTTAGGAAGATGAAATTGTATTGTACAGTTACAGTAAAAAAGGAGAAGGCAAGCTTCTAGTTGTGGCCAGCGACTGATGTTAGTTGAGCCTTAGACCAGGAGGAAAAGTCCAGAATTGGTAAAAGAGAGGTGCCAAAGAAAACATGAACTGTGAGGTGTAAGTAGAGTTTCATTTCTTTGTTTGACAGCATGGTTGGGCTGGAGGGTCAAGGCAATGCATGTAAATTTCAGCCTGGCATTAGACAAAAATCTTTTATAGTGTCCTTGTCGATTCATGGAGAGTTGGAGGGTAGGTGTAGGGCAAATTCGATTGATTTGTAGCTGGTTGAACAATCACTTCCCAAAAGTCTTGAAATGGATCCATTTCAGTTTTGATGGAGGTCACTAGTGACTTGCCCCAGGAATCTACCTTCTGCCTCACTCAGTACAATATTGTTGTAAGTGATATCCTGAAGAAATCTGATGGTGACAAATATGGGAGAATAGCTTATACTTTAAGATGCTAGAGCCGGGGTCCAAAAATATTTTCAAAGATTGGAACAATGTGTCAAGTCTAATAAGATAGAATTTAAGGGGCGCCTGGGTGGCTCGGCCGTTAAGCGTCTGCCTTCAGCTCAGGTCATGATCCAGGGTCCTGGGATCGAGCCCCGCATCAGGCTCCCTGCTCTGTGGGAAGCCTGCTTCTCCCTCTCCCACTCCCCCTGTTTGTGTTCCCTCTCTCTCTCTGTCAAATAAATAAATAAAATCTTAAAAAAAAAAAAAAAGATAGAATTTAATAGGGAATTATCCCACAGTTATGCATCTAAAAATCATCCGAACAAGGCCAGGATGTTTGGAACCTGGCATGTTTAAATGAAACCAGGATAAGGCAAATGCAAAAATGTACCTCTAAAGATTTTGTTATGAGTAGGCCACCACTTGGCATCTAGGCTATTTCCTGAAGCTCCATGATAACAGTAGATGTTAGTCCAGGGAAAAGGAAGATGAGGGTGGAGAAGAAATTTGGGTGGGGAGTGTGGTTTAAGAGTACAATATGCAAAAGAAAAAAAATAAATGACTTCTTAAAATGCCACATGAGAGGCCTTGGATTTTACTAATAGAAATATTATGTCCAGAATAAAGGAGAGGATGGTCCGACTCTACTCTGCAAGTTAGGCCTCTCCTGGAATATTGGAGGCAATTCTGGGTGACTATCTTTTATGGAGCCTTTGACCAGCTAGAATATGTAGAGAAGACAGCAACTAATATGGAAAGGCTCTTGAAATGATGTCATGTCCCTGCTCTCAACACTGCAAAGTGTGGCCCTAGACCTCTGAGGCCACATGACCCCTGGCTACCTCTTAACCCTCTCTTCTGACTTCTCTCCCCTTCTCCATTTCAGCGTGGCCTGCCTCCTTGATATTTCTCAAACATCAAGCATTTATCCTTGCAGGATCTTTGCTCTCCCCGCCCACGTATTCACATGGCTCATCCCCTCAAACGTCTTTGCTCAAGTCACTTCCTCATTGACCTCCCTTACCTCCCAACCTAAAGAAACACTCCCATTTCCCAGTCACTTTACCTTGCTTTTCCTCCAGCATATTTATCAGTACCTAACATTATGTTACCAATTTACTTAACGGTTTATTTTCTGTCTTCATCAATAGAATGTAAGTCCCAGGAGGGCTGGGGTTTTGTTTGCTCCTCTGATCCATCCCTTGCTCCTGATACACCTTAGGTTCTCGATGAGCACATTTTGATGAACTCAAAAGCCATACTGTAAACCCACAGTAGGGCAGGCCTCTGAGAGCTCTGTCAAACACTGAAGGAGCTATTTTGTGGAAGAGACCTCTCCCACCCCCATGGCCAGGCTAGAATGATGAGTGGGCGCTCAAGGCAAGGTGCTTTGGGACTCTCGGGCTCAATATAAAGAAAGATTTCTAAGAACTGGAAAGGGTGGGCCACTAGGAACCTCCCCACCACAGGGCATGTTTCCTCAAGTGTGAGGAAGTCACTTGTCAGAGGCATTGTGTGGGACTTGAATTCAGTGATACCTAAGATTTTTTTTCTATTCCAAATTTTATGAGATCATCACAGGTTAGGCCACCTCTTTCTTGTTGAAACATTTCTGAATTTGGTCTACTGAAATAGTTTTCCTATGTGAACACATTTTCAATGTTTTGAATGTGATAATGGGATTCGATTTGTAGAAACGATGCCCATTTTCTGAAACGTGGTTTGGAATATGTGAGATTTAGAGGAGAAAGATCTCGTGCCAATTGTGTGTCATTCTGTATTCTCTGACAGCATCCCAAGAATGATCAAAATGTACCTAATTTTTCTTATTCACATGCCCAGTGTGCTCACGAGCCTTATAAATAATCACAAATGTTGCTTTCTCAGTATCTTTCTAGATAAGACATGGCGTCTGTCCCAAGGAGAATGATTTTAGCACTCAACAGCTGAGAAAGGAAATGAATTATCCTATTGTGACTACTAGGGCAATTTAGGTAGTCAGGAATTATCCTGGTATGGACAGACAGACAAAGAGTAAACAAGACCTTGGGATGCTTTTTCAATGAGGCAAAAGTTTTCTTTTGGAAAATAGCACTAAATGTTTAACACAGAGCTCAGAGAACACTGAGCATAGAGATCTATGTATTTTTATAAATTAAAACAAACAAAAAAACCATAACAGGGCTTGCAGAGGACTCTGTGTTTCTCACTTGGGGAAAAAGGGACAAAATATCAGTGTGGAGGGACTCCAGGCGCCTTCCAGTTAATATCTCCAGCTCTGACTTACTCCCACAGTCCTGAAGCAGGCCAAGAACAGAGATAGAGCTTGAAAGTGTGTCATGGGAATCTGTGACCGTTTCTCTGGCTGCGTGATGAGATTTCTGCTGTCTGTAAATGTCTGAGGTTGGAACCCCACGGCTAGTGTTCTGTTAACCTAAAAAGAAAAAGTCGTTCCTGAAATTCTAAATTTGCAAAACTTATTTCAAAAAGCAAACAAAAAAAGCCCAAACGTAATTTAAGCACCTTAAAACAACAACTACTGAGCTACATAAAGGCAGACACAGGGGTGAAAACTTCTTTCTCTCCCAATGTCAGCCAGACTGTAGAACCTAGTTTCGTGAGAAGGCAAGGGTGGGATATGGATGTGTGACGCTGGCTCTTAGCAACTTCCCCGGAAATGAATTTGTCCAGAAATGGGGTTAATGAAGCCAGAGCAGACCCAAGGTGAGAAATTGGGATGCTTCTATTCCTGCGTCCTGGGGATGTTCCTCCCTGGGCGTCAGCACTTGGTGGTGGTTTTCCTATGGGACTCTACGTTGTTCAGGCTGGCTTTTGGGTCCCTCCCAGGGCTGCTGGCTGGGCCTCTCTTTCCTAGAGCCTCTGGTGCCTGACAGAGTAAGTCAGTGGAATCAAGACAGCTAACCAGGGTGGGCCCCAGGGTGGGAGATGCACTACGATTGTTCTTTATGCTTTACTGGCCCACTGCACAGGGGGCTGAGCAGTTCCTGAAGGACAGGGATGCCGCTTGTGACCGTTGTATCCCCAGCACTTAGCCCAGCCCTAGCGCCAAAGTCAGCCCTCAGGAAAGGTTTTTTTGTTACTATTAAATGAAGTGAAAAGGTCCAAAGGAATGCATGTCTGCATTAACCTCCTTCTAACCAGTGGCACAGATTTGCCTATTTTGGTATGACAGCGTGGTTTTCTTCCTCCACATTGTTTTGGATTCTCAAGTAATGGACACCATGTACCTCTTGTCCCCTGAAAACATTTCTTTGATGAGCTGGGTAGTGAGGGCACAGGGTCTGCGTCCTTGCTCACCACTGAATCTCCCCATACGGTGCCCAGCACCCCATCGATGGTCAATGAACAATTTTTAAATAAGTAAAAATATAAACATTTAAAATTTTTAAAAAAAGAAAGTGATGGCTACTGGTCCCACTTGCACCCACCGGGCTTCTGACATTACCCAATAAATGGGCCTCTTTCAAAACAGGACATGTTAGGAAACTGAATTTCCCTAAAGGGAAAAGATGTTAGGACAGCAGCCCCTTTTTTCCGCCGTTTTCTGGGAAGGTGCGCAGAAACATGGGACAAAACTCCCCAGGGTCCTGCTCCCGCACTGACCGAGGGCCTTTCAGAGGTGACCGGGTGCCACCCTCCCCCGCCCCCCGGCCTCGCTCATCAGACCATAAGCGCCCCAGAAAGGAGAGCGGGCGGGTTCGCAGGCCGGGAAGGCTTGTCGTGTCCGGCCCCCGCCCCGCCGCGCGGCTAGGTAACTGCTCGGGCTCCCGCGCGGCCACCAAGTGTTCCAGGGTGAGGATCTGGCGAAATGTGGCCGAGACAGAGGGCGGCGCGGCCGTGCACCGGCCCCCGCCTCCCGGGGCCTCCATTTGGTGAGTTCACCGTGGGCGGCAGAGCCAGGAGAGAGACACCTGCCGGCGGCACGCGGCGGTGCGGTGCCCGAGAGCCCCTCGGACGCGCACGCCGGGCGCCGGGCCCTGGGCGGCGGGCGGGGAGGGGGCCGCGCCGCGCGGAACCCGGAACCCGGAACCCGGCTCCTCGGCAAGCCCCTTGTTGATTCCGTTGCCAGGGACCCAACACGATCTCTTCTCTGGACCTTCTTCGAAAAGATTTTTGGAAAAACGGACCCATGTTCACGTAAAGGGGAGCCCAACCAAATGTCTCCCTGCCCTGGCCCCTCTGGGCATCGTCAGCCGGCCAGCCTCCCCACACCTGTTCCCGGGGCTGCTGAGCCAATTCAGTCCAAGAACGGGCCTCTGCAGTCAGCGCGTCCTTGAAAGAGAGGGCAAAGTCTCACTAGGCTGCTGCTTCTTTTTTTTTTTTTTAAGTTATTTATTTATTTATTTTTAATGGTAATCTCTAGACCCAACTTGAGGCTTGAACTCACGACCCCGAGATCAAGAGTCACATGCTCTTCCGTCGGAGCCAACCAGACGCTCACTAGGTTTCTTTTAAGTTCACCTACAAAGGTTAGCCAGATTGCTCTCTGGGAAACATTTGTCCTGGCTCTCTCTGAGCTTCAGGCCAGGCCGACCCCCAACCCAGTGCTTGCCCGTGTGTGTGTGTGTGTGTGTGTGTGGTGTGTGTGTGTACCCAATGTCAGGCCGACCCCCAACCCAGTGCTTGCCCGTGTGTGTGTGTGTGTGTGTGTGTGGTGTGTGTGTGTACCCAATGTCAGGCCGACCCCCAACCCAGTGCTTGCCCGTGTGTGTGTGGTGTGTGTGTGTACCCAATGTCAGGCCGACCCCCAACCCAGTGCTTGCCCGTGTGTGTGTGTGTGTGTGTGGTGTGTGTGTGTACCCAATGTCAGGCCGACCCCCAACCCAGTGCTTGCCTGTGTGTGTGTGTGTGTGTGTGTGTAAGCCAGGCCGACCCCCAACCCATGCTTGCCTGTGTGTGTGTGTGTGTAAGCCAGGCCGACCCCCAACCCAGTGCTTGCCTGTGTGTGTGTGTGTGTAAGCCAGGCCGACCCCCAACCCATGCTTGCCTGTGTGTGTGTGTGGTTTCTGTGTGTGTATGGGAGGGCATGCAAGGTAAAAACTGGATGTGCTAGAAGTCACAATGAAAGAAGGGAGCAAAGTGCAGTGAGAATAAGTAATAACAACTCAACTCTGCCGAGGCTATGCACGGGCTGGTGGGAAAGGAAGGACTAACCTGGCAAATTCTAATCATCAACTTTGATTACCCACTAAGGACCAGAAGAAAGAACTCCAAGAAGGCTGAAGAAGTAAAAAAGTCTTCTGGGGGCTGCTGGTCTGGAGCGAATCCCTGCAGAATGAGAGAGATGTGAGTCCTTGGAAGGCAAGGGAATGAACAGGACTTTCCATTTCAGGGTGAAAACCAGTGGCTTAAGGTGAGATGCTGCAGGCTAAGTAGGGTATGTGGATATTCCCACTGCTGGTTCTCCACAGTCCAGGAAGTGCGTGGTACCCCTGGAATTCATCTGTGGAAGCAACTGGTCTCAGAGCAGTTTCAGCCTCCCCTGGGAACCTCTTAGCAATGCAAATTTAGGGCCCCTCCCTAGACCTACTGAATCAGAGTCTCTGGGGGTGGGCCCTAGTGATCAGTCTTTAACGAGCCCTGTGGGTGATTCTGATGTTCTCTAAAGTTTGGGAACCCCTGGATTGGGAAATAGAGAAGAAAGGAGCCAACTGGGTGGCATCCCAGGTGCTGGGGCTGTGAGCTCCCTGTGTATAAATAAGGGGGGATAAATGTGTACCGTTGACAGGTACAGGATGTGGGACAGGGGATTCAGTTTGTGAGGGGGAGAGCACTAAGTAAAGGTCATTTTGGTCCTGTTGAGTTTGGTGTGAAAGCAGGGTACCCACATCCAAACTCCTCGCAGCATCTGCAAGTTAGGGCCCGCCGTGGCGAGGAGAGCAGGGATGGGGTCCCCTATGTGCAGTAGAAATGAAAGAGGGGTTCAGCTCACTGTGATCTGACAGACAGGGGAGGACAGAGAGTCCAAAAGCTTACAGGGAAGAGCTGGTCAGAGAGGAAGGAGAAAAAACAACCACCATCAGTGTGGTGCCACTGAGGCAAAGAAAGGAAAGAGATTCAAGAAGGAACTGGTCGAGGGAGAAGCCGACCAATGCAGTTGGCCTCGGGCAGTGTTTTCTCACCCATTAGAGGGCTGGGAAGCAATATGGCTGTAAAACCAGCATTTAAAATAATAACAGAAAATGTCAGAGTGTATCTCACATATAGCAAGGATACAGTTTCATGAAACTTCTGTGTAAGATGTATTTTGGTGTCAACAATACATCAGTTTAAAAAAGATATATTTTTGGGGGGGGGCTACATCATTTCGTGTGGCATTCTTGCTAAAAACGTCTAACTTCAGTGCAATCTTGAAAAAATATCAGACAAACTCCGGTGGAGGGACATTTGACAATATAACTGATCGATACTCTTTAAAAGTGTCAAGGTCCTGAAAGTCAAGAAAAGACTGATGAACTCTCATAGATTCGGGAAACTAAGGAGAAATGGCGAAATGCCATGTGAGACACCGAATGGGGGTCCTGGGACAGAAAAGGGACATTAGTGGAAAACTGGGGTCTTTGGTTACTAGTAGAGAGCACTAGTGTTAGTTTCCTGGCTTTGACCATTGCACTAGGGGAAGCTGGATGAGGATGGCTTCTTCTATTCCAGCTGCAATAACAAAATGCCGCAGACCGGGTGGCTTATAAACAGAAGTTTATTTCTCACAGTTCTGTTGGTTGGAAGTCCAAGATCATGGTGCTGGCAGATTCTGTGTCTGGTGAGGGCTCCCTTCCTTCGTCATAGATGGTGTCTTCTTGCTGGGTCCTCACAGGGTGGACTGGTCTAGGAAGCTATCTGCAGCCTCCTTTTTTTTTTTTTTTTTTTTTTTTTTTAAGATTTTATTTATTTATTTGAGACAGAGAGAATGAGAGACAGAGAGCATGAGAGGGAGGAGGGTCAGAGGAAGAAGCAGACTCCCTGCCGAGCAGGGAGCCCGATGCAGGACTCGATCCAGGGACTCCAGGATCATGACCTGAGCCGAAGGCAGTCGCTTAACCAACTGAGCCACTCAGGCGCCCATGCAGCCTCCTTTGTAAGAGCACGAATTCCATTCATGAAGGCTCCCTTCTCAGGACCTACTCACCTCCCAAGGCCGCACCCCCTAATACCATCACTTTGCGCATGAGGCTTCCAACATAGGAATTCTGGGGAGACCCAGGCCTCCAGACCATAGCAAAGGATATATGGAAATCCTCTGCAGGATTTCTGCAGCTTTTCTGAAAATCCACAATTAGTTCAGAACACAGTCTAAAAACACAACGTACTTGTGTATATGTGAACTGGGCGGGGGAGGGGCCATGACATAAACTTTGGGGAGGCTTGGTGAAAAAAGTTTGAGAGCGACACTGTCTGGGGTGTGGAGGGCACATGCACCAGGCAGTGAGGGGGGCCTCCTGCAGCTGAGGTCCTGGGAGGCCTCGTGCGCGTCGTCGGGGAGGGTGAGAAGCTGCAGGTCCTGGTCAAAGGCAGGGACTGGGGTTATCACAGTGCATGCAAAAGGGTAGATGCGGGCCTCAGTTCTGTTTGACGAATACTGTGGATTCCAGAAGAAGAGGCATCCTGACCCCAGGAAGTCTGAGGGGTGGGTAGGCAATGTGGACATTGAAGCTGTCGCAGCGATATCCTGTTACCACCTACCACAGCCACGTGCCACAGACAGATCCCCTGCTACCCAGGGGAGGGTAGCATTTGATAGTCTAGGGTTGTGTTATTTCTTGGATTTTTGTTGTTCGGGGTCGGGGGAGGATCTAATTTCATAATCTAAGTTTTGTAATCAAAGTTATGATCGAAGACCTATTTTATAATTGAAGCCTCTCTGAAATCCTAAAATCCCTAGGCAGATAACTGTCCCTCCTTCATGAGGCATCTTTCAAGCAACCTGGAGGAATGAGAAAGGTTCTGGTAATTCAGTAGCTTCTAACTTTCTTCTCAAATGTTTTGAGTTAGAGCCATGGTTGCCCACTCAGGGCGATTTTGCACCCCCGCTCCCCACATTTGGCATTGTCTGGAACTGTTTTCAGTGGTCACTACTGGGTGTGTGTGTGTGTGTGTGTGTGTGGCATTTGGGGGAGGCCCAGGATGGTGCTAAATAACCTATGGTGCACAAAACAGCCCTTCTACCCACAACAGAAAATTATCCAGCCCAGAATGTCAATAATGCCAAAGTTGAGAAACCCTGAATTAGACGAGATGAAAATCTGAGGTCTGTTTATAGTTAGGAACGTTGCCTGGCTGCTTCTCACAAAAGGAGGGTATTAAGCTTCATTTCTTGGCTTCATTTCAAGTGGATAATTATAACCTGCCTACCTAAAATTTAAACTTTAATTTTCTTTTCTTTTTTTTTTTTTTAAAGATTTTATTTATTTATTTGAGAGAGAGAGTGAGAGAGAGAAAGAGCACAAGAGGGGGGAGGGTTAGAGGGAGAAGCAGGCTCCCTGCCGAGCAGGGAGCCCGATGCGGGACTCGATCCAGGGACTCCAGGATCATGACCTGAGCCGAAGGCAGTCGCTTAACCAACTGAGCCACCCAGGCGCCCCTAAACTTTAATTTTCAATGGGTATCTTTCTTTAGTTCGTGCTTAAACAGGCTTGGGGTGGCTGTATTCCCGACCACAGGGCAATATTCTGTGCCTGAATCAGTTACAGGTCAGTAGTGGGCGAAACAATTGGTCTTGAAGTGATTCGAAATCTTCGGGCGATAAGCACTAAAACGAGAAACCTAGGGCATTATCGTCATCATTAATTATTAGTACTATTACAGCACTCATTCAGCCACTCTCGGGATTCCCATGGGATTGCCATTAGTACTAGGGTCAAAAGCAGATTCATGACCTTCAGTCTCACCAGACACCGCCCGGAATTATTACGTTAGCCGGTTAAAAGCCGAGCTCTCCTTCTGCAGGGCCTTGCCGCCTGCTCGCAGCGCTTGGGAGAGGCTCTGCATTGGCAACATTGAGCTTCAGAGCAAAGCTTCAATCTTCTATTTGTACTCGCTGTTCCCATATTTAGACCAGAGCAGCACATACTTGTCTATTGCTTCAAGGCAAGAGCAAATTCTGAAGGCATTAAGTAGAGACTCGCTTGAAGCAAACAAGAGAGCCCAGAACAAGCTAAGGGCAAGACTTTCCCTCTCTCTCTCCTTATGTTCTAAAGCTTTATAATAATAATTCAGGGTAGCAAAACTTAAAATCACAAGCCAGGCTGCCAGCTAATTCACAAACCAAACGATTGCCTTTTTATGAGCTGCACTGATCAGTTTGTGAAATCTGATTTGGCTTTTTTTTTTTTTTAATAGTATTTTAATGTTAAACAAGCCTGGGCAGCTACGTGGTAAACAGGTTGGGTGCTCTTTCTTTCATTTGTAAAGTTTTTTTTGTTGTTGTTTGTTTTTTAAGTTTTGTTTATTTTCCCTAGGATTTCTGTCTTTAAAAGATTTTATCAAGCTCATTGGAGTTACCTGGAGCTCTGGCAAAGTATGACTTTGGGGATGATAAATAGTGATATATGGTGCTTCTCTGCTTGACATGTCTTTATTTAAGTAGGTTTGGAATGGAGACTATCCTGACACGATTCTTCCATAAAAATCCATATTATTTCATAGTACAAGTGCTGCCTTTGATAAGATGCCACTGACTTTAATTTGATTTTTTATGAGCTGCCTGCTCCACAGTCTCTGGCCTAGGTCCTCAAAAACAGGCATTTCGAAGGTGTTGGCTGAGGGGAGAAGCAGAAATTTTATTCATGGGGCAGAGTCTGTCTTTGCAAAGCAGCTACCTGGTGTGTCCCCGACAGAGCCTGAGATCCGGGCTCCTGGTCAGAACAATCAAAACCATAATAAGAGTTCATGTTCCCTGGTTATTTAGTATGTGCCAACCTGAGTCCCAGGTTTCTCTGTGGAATGACTCATTTCAGGCTTGTCACAACTCCTTGACCACGGTGTTACTTGGTGCTTCTATATCACAGCTGAGGATCCTGAGGCTGCAAGAGGTCAGGTACTTTACCCAAGGTCATGGAGCAGAAAGACACGCTAGAATTTGCAACAAGGCATCGAGGGGCCTTGCTCTTGACTTTTCCCAACAAACGTGATCTTAAAAACCTGAATACGATTAGCATGTGATAATTATATGGTTTGTTTTTGAAATGTTCCAGGCTATTTTCACCTTCATTCCCTCTTTTGCTAAGGAGGCATGATGGTACCTGGAATCCTGGAAGGTGTCTTTTCATAAAGATAAGATTTGAAAATGGCTAGACGAGAGGGCACACACACTCCCTTTTCTAATACAACTTGAATGGGAGGCCTACGTGAGCAAAT